CCAAGAAAGAAACCCACGCCTTAGGAGAAACCCCACGCCGAAGCTCAAATCCCACGCCCAAGGAAGAAACCCACGCCCATCATAAAACCCCACGCCCTGGGAGAAACCCCACGCCTAAGCTCAAACCCCACGCCCAGGGAAGAACCCCACGCCCATCATGAAACCCCACGCCCTAGGAGAAACCCCACGCCTACTGTATCAACCCTACGCCCAAAACTCAAACCCCACGCCTACTGTATCAACCCCACGCCCAATGAAGAACCCCATGCCCTAGAAAGAAACCCCACGCCCAATGAAGAAAAGGTCAAACCCCACGCCCAAGCTCAAAACTCCACGCCCAAGCTCAAACCCCACGCCCAAGATGAAACCCACGCCCAAACTCCAACCCCACGCCTAATCTCATACCCCACGCTCTAGGAAGAAACCCACGACGTTACTCAAACCCTAAGCCTAAAGAGAGGACCCCACGCCCAAGGAAGAACCCCACGCCTAAACTCAAACCCCACGCCCAAGGAATAACCCCACGCCCATCCTGATACCCCACGCCTAATGTATCAATCCTACGCCGATCCTGAAACCCCACGCCTAAGCTCAAAACCCACGCTTAAAAGAGGACCCCATGACCAAGGAAGAACCCCACTCTCAAGGAAGAAACCCCACACCCATCTTGAAATCCCATGCCTAAGGAAGAACCCCACGCCAAGGAGAAACCCTAAACGAACCAACCCCACGCCCTAGGACCAACCCCACGCCAACATACCTACCACAACACCCAACCAACCGACCCCACGCCCAACTAATAAGCCCCACGCCTTAGGGAGGACCCCATGCCCGAGGGACACCACGCTTATATAGGGGCGGGGCCAACGCCCAAGGAAACCCCACGCTTATAGAGGGACCCCACGCTTAAGGGAACCCCACGCTCATAGAGGGACCCTACGCAATACTTCTTTTGGGGGTGCTCAAAGTTTCCGAGGATAGTAATCTTCATGCCCTAGATGAACAGAACAATATCTTTTGTCATCAAATATATCTAATGATTAGGCAAATAATTCAGTTGCTCAGCTTTTAGATATTCTGCTTTCAAATGCTATTGGGGAGACAATCTAGCAGAGTTTGGAACATCCTTCACACAGCTTTTAGATATTCTGCTTTCAAATGCTATTGGGGAGACAATCTAGCAGAGTTTGGAACATCCTTCACACTCATTGTTGCCATCAATGCACATTGATGTGCATAGTAGCTCAGATTTTAAATATTGGAAATCTTATTCTTCTTTCAAATGCTACCGGGGAGACAATCTGGCAGAGTTTGGAACTTCAGCTTAGGTACTCTTCCTCGAAAACCTTCCTGAATTTTTCACTTTAGATAGTGATCCAGCTATAAGATCAAAACTCAATTTTCCTCCAATGTGTCTGCAAATTCCTAACTGATTATAAAAGGTAATAACCCGAGTTATTACCTTGTCTCTAACAAGGTGATTCCTTACTGATGGGAAAATCCTAAGTGGAATAGCCAGTTGTGACCTAATTGATAATTTTTTTTCATCCTTAACTCTTTAATATCTTCCATTGTGCGCCGTGCGTCGGATGACGAGGACGGACACAACTTGTGGTACGATGTTACTCGTTAGGCCTCTTGGGGGAGTGGGGAGGGGGGTTCGAGCGAGCCCGATGTCCCCGTAAGGGCGTTTGAGGGCTAACGTTGGACAACAGGACTTGCTGAACCCTTTAATTAAGTCATTTTGGTCGATGAATCCTTTCGGGTGTGCGGGTACTCGTTGAATGATGGAGACTCGGATTGGGCAAATGTCGAGAATAGGTGCTCGAGGATCCCTTGTGATCAACTAGCCTCAGTCCCTCAGTCCCGGGAGGGTGTCTTACATGTCTAACCCTCAGTCCCGGGAGGATGTCTTACATGTCCCGGACTTGTCGGTGCGGACCTCGCACTGCCCCCGCTCGCCAAAGTCTTCACCCCCATTATGGGTGTCTCACATGTCTAATCCTCGCACTGCAGTCAAGTAGTAAAATGTAAATGCCACAATATATAATGTGCATAATACATTAGATTATGTATATTTTGGGAATTTGAGACATCATAGCTATAGCATTAATAAACACTAAATGGGCCTGATTCATTTTGAAGCACTATAATGGCAAGCTACTTGGGCCTAATAAACTTCTTTATAAATAGAAAATTATTAATTGTTAATGACATATACAAACACACATTTAAAAACAATTTTACGTAAGCGCTCATTCTAAACTTACTTGGCGCCATTGGTTATGAAACTTTATCATTACATTATTAAACACTCCAATTAACATACCGTATTTTATTTCTAAAAAATGAAAAAGTTATGTGTTCAACACTTCAACGTGAGAAGCCCATTACTTAGTGAGAGACAAAGTTAAAGAGGCAAAGTTGTAAGAAACAACTTGTTCCAATTTCCATAAAATAATTTGATCCAATTTCCCAGAAAATAATTTGATCCATTTTCCGCATAAAACATAAAAAGATATGCGCATAAAACATTTTTTAAAAAAAGAAAAAAAGAAAAAAAAAAAAGAATCCGCCATAAAATCCATACATCATCATCATAAATCATCATCATCATACATCACCATCATCATACATCATTATCATCATCATCATCAGCAACAACAACATCCTCAGCAAGCATCATCATCTAAAAATAACCATGATCATGAGTAGTTATGATAACCATGATGCCTAAGAATTTAGGCTTACAAGAACGTTAATCAAGATTAATTGATTCTCAATTTCAAACAAATTAGAACTTTAATAACTAATTATTGTGGGTTGTGAATGAAATGTAACAAATGGATCTGCAAATGGAGTATCAAAGCCCTGTATAATCACATGAGACCTCAATCCCCTAAAGTGCCATGGAGAAGACTGGTGGAACAATAAGGCACCTGGCAATTACAGTTGGGTGCTCAAAAGAATCATGAAATGTAGAGAGTTGTGTCCATACTTTGTTGGAATTTCTTTATGGTATATTACTAGTACAATATAGCTACGGGATGGGTATAAGGTGGGGGTGGGGGCGGGTCAGGCGGGGCAGGTATAGCTTAGAATCCACCCTCGCCCCATCATCCATAGCGGGTATGATTTTTATCCCTATCCCCGCTCTGCCACCCGCCAAACCTAGACCCATCCCCGCCCCACTGACATCCCTAGTCCTAGTCTGATCTTGGTTGCAACCAATTGTGGTGGCACAATTAGTCCATAATAATTTTAATTTTTTTTGGTGTTTGAACCGCTTGAGCCCGATATTGGACCATTGCTTTGCTATTTTGCTATAGACTTGTTACATTACTAGTTAGTTTTAATTGCACTACCAGTTCCACCTACAAGTCTACAACTAGACATGTCAATAAGGTCGGTGAGGTCACCAGTCGTTTCGGGTTGGATACTTTTGATTTTTTAAGCTTACTTTGCCATTTTTTAAGCATCTAAAAAATTGTCATTCTCCGGAAGTAGCAATGTTTTCAAAGCATAGAGGTTCTGTCACTTGTCTGAGTTTTGAAGGTCTTTGCTTCTCCGTTTTATCGCTTGGAAACTTCCAACAAATTTAGGTATTGGATGAAATTTAATTCGATTGCATTCTTAATTTTATTTAAGTTACACTCTTTGGGTGGTGTTTATTTTCCATTTTCAGATTCAACATTGAAGATAGATGCGATGCATTTCTTCTTTTCCAGTAAGTATGTGCATCCCTAATTTTACTTTTAATGTTCGTTTTCCCTTTGCTGTAAAATCTAAATATTGTACTCCGTAATTTGTTATTTGCAAAATTTGAATTCTAAGGATTTCAAACCCTTGCTAAGTCAAGCGTACTGATATGATGATTATTACAATAGAATTAGGATACCCAATTCTGATAGAGGTGTTATTGATAAAAACTAGAGCTGGGTATGGTGTCGAAGAGAGGCATTGTCACTAAGGTATAACCTTTTAAGCTCATGGAGCTGATCAGCTGACTTAGAGTTGTGGGTACCGAACCTTTTAGCTGATTTATTTCGAGGAAATTTAAATTGATAATTTGCCTAATTCAGGCAGAAGAAGACCACTTAGCTTCTTGTTTTTGCTAAGATCGAGGGAGTTGAAGATAGGTAAGGTTGATAAGGAAAGGAATGAATCATTGAATCTACTCTCCTTCCAGTAATAAATAGGATCTGGACTTGTCCTAAATGAAGCCAATCCTAAGTGTAGCACAAGCTGAGAGAATACAGTAATCACTAAAACAATAGTCGATTGCAATTCAGTCGAGCAGATTAAGTCAATTTGGATTGAATATATGGTAAGGTTAATTATAAGAGTTGAATAATGGTCTATAACATGTGAGATCAAGACAGTCCTATCATCGAATTTGATAGGACATAAGGTTAACATTTGGATATAAGGTATTCAAGTATTAGCCATGGATCAATATAATCTGTATTATTAACAGCTTTTTGTAGACAGATTATGAATTCATATATGGCAAGACGTTTTGACCTGCAAATAAACATTACTAATAGCTCCTATGTCCTAATTTCATTAGCCTTACAGTTCTTTGCTCTTAAATGGATAATCACTTTGTATTGTGGTTGGAAATTTTGAAAAATAAAAAGATACATTTGAAAATTACATCTACATAAACTTGATTATAACAATTTTTTTTTAAATAAAAAAAAAAAAAAACACTAAATGAAATGTAAATACTTGATTGACAAAAGGACCACAATCAAGTATCAATGCTTACAAGACTGAAGCGGAGCTCCACAAAGCCCTGCATTATCTGAAAATGCAGAGGCAGGAATGTTAGTCTTGTGCGGAGGAATCGCCCCGCTTAGTTTATTTTTCGACACATCAAATACTTGCAGGCTCCTCAGATTCAACAAATTGCTTGGAATACTTCCACTTAAGCTATTCCTTGACAACATAATCGTTGTCAATTCCTTGGCATTCTCAAGTTCTTCGGGTATTCTTCCTGATAGATGATTATCCACCATTTTTAGAACTTGGAGTCGAGTTAATATCCCTATCGACTTTGGTATGGATCCTCCTAATGGGTTATTCGATAAGATTAAGGAAGTGATAGAGTTCATGGTGGGCTTATTACCTATGTTTATATCGAGTGGGCCTGTGAACATGTTACCAGACACATCGATATTGGTGTAAGACCCTTGTGTGAGAATTATTTGTAATGGCCCAGAGAACTTGTTTGAGTGAAGATCAAGGTTCTGGAGGCTCGAGAGCTTCTTAAATTCTACTGGAATGACAGAGTAGAATCCATTGTTGGATATATTAAAGAACCATAAACCACTCATATTCCCTATCCATGAAGGCAACTTCCCTGTGAGCTCGTTACTAGATAAATCTAGATAAGTAATCTGTGTGGAGGATAGCCACTGGGGAAGCTGCCCTTTGAGCCCTGTCCCAGCTAAATTTAGCTGAAAGAGGTTTAACTTGGAGATCCAACTGGGTATTGTCACCAGCCTTAGTGGATTGAAAGACAAGGTAAGTGTCTGTAACAGCTGTAGTTGAGCAAGTTGTGGCGGCAGGGGGCCAACAAGCTGATTTCCAGACAAATCCAGTAATGTGAGGTTCTTGAGATTGCCAAAAGTAGATGGGATTTGGCCTACAAAGTGATTGTTTGCAAAGGACATGTCGGTTAGCATACTAAGATGTCCTAAACTTGATGGCAATTTTCCTGTGATCATATTGTTATCTAAGTACATCCTCTGGATTTGGGGAAGATTCCCGATGGAATTTGGTAAAACACCACTCAACTTATTATTCCAAAGCCTGAGAAATTGCAAAGAAGTAAGTCGGCCTATGGATGAAGGAATGGGTCCTGTAAGTTTGTTATCATTTAGATATAAAAGGTTTAGCCGAGAAAGTTCACCAATAGAATCTGGTATACTCCCTCTGATATCATTCGAGGACATATCTATGTATGCAAGGGTTTTTAGCTTGCCAATTACCATTGGAATCTTACCAGAGATATTGTTGGTATTAAGGTCAAGCTTAGTAAGTTTAAGCAAATTCTCAATCGATGCTGGCATTGGTCCGGATAACTGATTTCCGGATAAGCCCAATTCCAATAAGGATGGCATTGATTGAAACATAGAGTTGGGTATGGAGCCAAAGAGTTTATTGTCACTTAGGTATAGCTTTTGTAGGCTATGAAGGTTTGCAAGTGAAGTGGGTATGGAACCGTTTAGCTTATTTGTGTCTAGAAAAAGAAGGGTCAGATGTGACAACTTGCCTAGTTCAGGTGGGATGGGACCAATTAGCTCCTTATTGTTGCTAAGATCAAGGAGTTGGAGCACGGTAAGGTTGCCAAGAAATGGAGAGAGCGTACCTGTCATAGAGGTATCCAAGATGAAGTCGTCCCCAGATTGGAGACCAGACACTGAGACATTAACTACCCTTCCCGTGGCATGATCACAGTCCACACCTGCCCAAGAAGTGCAGCAGTCTGTTTTGGAGACCCAAGTTTTGAGTAGCCCTGATGGGTCATTGGTGATGTGATGCTTGAAATCGAGCAATGCTTCTTTGTCTATGTTATTGCAGGATTCTACAAATGTTGAGTAGAATGTACTAGTGAAGATAAGAATGGAAATGAGGGGGAAAGAAATTGTAAATATTTGCATGATTGCTAAAAATGTGGTTGATTTTGGCAAGGAGCAATGAATGGATAATGGTGAAAGAAGACCATGCATGGGTTCCTTTTTATAATGCAAACTGGGGTTGAAAAGTACGACTTTGTTTGCATACAAGGTGTTGTTATCAATGATGGTGGTGGTTTCCGTTGAAATAGCTGGTCAATAAAAGATATAAAATTAAGTTTTAAACTATGATTTTTATTTTACTCGTATTAGCAGTGTAGGATTCTAGTAGTAACTGGTAGTACTATACTGAAGTATCCTTATTTTAATTTTCTGCAGACAGTGGTAGTATATTATACAAGTATATGGGTTTTAAGGGATTAACTTATAGAGTAGCTAGTTGAGTAATTCAGTAATTGTACTTTGTATTTAGTTTGATGGACAAGCTAATAAATGGAATAACGGCTAATGTCCTTGCTTTCTGTGTAAAACTTAAGCTTGAATATAGGGATTGATGAATCTTGTAGTAATACTGTAATTACTTGTACACGCAATCTAAACATAATGCTACCTAGTTGTTTAATTGTTGGTATTTTGTTGTATAGATAGGCATGAAAGTATTTGATGTGGAGAGATACTACCTTCGTTTTTTTTTTAGTTGACATCGTTTGACTTTTATACTATTCACACATTACACTTTGACTCGATTTTGTGACTTATAGATACAATAAAATATAGTCATGTAGGATCTTGTTTGAATCTTCTTAATGTATATTTTATTAATATCTATTTTTTTATAATTTACAATGTTGATAATTAGAGATATTAAGCATTAAAAACATGCATTGGCTAGCGTGATGATAGAAATGTGTCAACAAAAAAAAGCGGAGGTAGTACAATTTAAGGGTCTATTCTCATACGTTTGTTTTCAATTCAGCTTTGTTTAGCATATGAGAACAGACCCTAAGTCATATGTGGTGCCGTATTACCTCAAAAGTCTTAACCCAAATAAGGTAGTTGACATCTAATTTTAGTGATGTATGTTTTACAAAAAACAGGTAGTAATGTGATATTGGGTCAAAGAAAGAAGGCTCCTTAGACCTCCATTGGCACGTCAGCATGTCATTATAAAACAGTGAGTTGGGGCATGACGCATGAGCACGTTAAATATGAATGAATCAGCCGGGCCATATTGCTTGGAACTTGGAAGTTGAGATAGGATCATAGGAGCAAGTTTTAATCATGGGAATGAAGCAAGTGGTAAATTCGGTGTTCCATGTAATTGACTTTGACTTACAGTTACAGCTCATTTTTTTGACATATGCTCCATTATTAAGCTATTATCCAAATATCTTGTTACGTTGTAGTATTATTATGTCTATGTTATGACATCATTATCTGCGTAGTTATATCCTTTAAACTAACGGCTTGATTGATTAGATTTATATTGAGGTTGGGTTTGGGCTGTAGTTTCTTAACATGACTGGCCGACTAAGGGCTGTTTTGTTCAACTTAATTTTAGTTAGTTCAATTTCCAATTTCCTTCTTTCATTTCAGCTTTATTCATTTCAGCCCCAATCAGTTGAGAGTACGCTACGTTGAGCTACGAGTTTCTCACACCGCAACAGGTATTCATATCACGTGCCCAACTCTAACTAACATGTGGGATGAGTTACCACTATTATTGGGATTTGGGAAAGTTGTCCACCTTTTTTTCTGGATTGTTAGAATCTTAAAAGACCTGCACCCCCTATCCTGCATCGCTGAAGGAGAAGGTATGATATTATGATAAGATAAATCAAATTAACTCTTTTCTTCACTTCATTTATACACTACTATGTCTATGTAATCATATGGGACTTTTAATTTCCATAAACTTATTAACATAACTTAGTTGATCATCAAAACCTGAAATCATCTACTCGTAAGTTATTTGATTTCCATATCACGTGCCCTTGTGATTTGATGTCAATTAAATAAATGATCACATACTTGGTTAGTTGGGGAAGAATAATGAATGCTCCGTACTATATTAACATGATAATAGGGGTTTCTTTATGTAAATTGGGCATGGATTAAGCTAACATGGCTCAAATTGGGCCTGATTAGATTCTAGAAATGAGCCCACATGCCATTATATGTGTTCATTTTTAATTTTAATTTAAGCCTAACAATTTGTTCACTCTCCATTTTTCAATATATACAGTACTTCATTACCACTCCACTTTACCAGTATTTTTTCAAGGGGGATGTTGACAGAATGTGGGCTGCGCCGTGCGTGCATGTACCATTGGCCATCCTGTACGGCATTGCCTAACTTAACCTACTACTCATTCTTTTTTTTTTTAAACAATTGTAACCCTTATAATCATAATCCTCCGCAAGAATGAAGTGATTGTTGTTATGAAGTTTGTGGGAAAAAAAATGCTAAAATTTTGTCCATACATTCTCTACAACTCCTCAAAATATAAAACCCTTTATACTTGGTACTAACACTACACTCTTATCTTTTTGTCTGAAAAATGTGTCGAATTAAACTATAGAGTTGTCTATTTTGACCTTGATTAATTGAAAAGAAAAAGACATCAGAAAATAAAAGAGTCTACACTAGAACAAATATAGCAAAATAATCCATAAATCATAATTAATATAGATGATTTTCAAGGAATAACAGGGCCAATGTTGTTTCTACAGTCCAGCAAAGACTTTTGATTGGCACCTTGACAAAAGAAAAGGGTGTTCGGACACACCAACAAACAATTATTGACCAAACTAATAAGGCTGGAACCTGGGTGGAGCTTCATGAGCGGGTCGGGTATAGGGCCATATATGAAATTCCCACCCAATAATAGCCTCTGAAATGGGGCGATTCTAGGCTGTGGCCAAACCGCTTTGAATGCATATTGGGTTGGTATCATTCCCATGAAGGTGTTGTTCTCCAGCGATAGAGCTGAGAGCTTTGGCATGAGGCCCATGAAACCCGGCAACAGCCCAGTCAAGTGGTTGTTACTGAGGTCAATCGCTATGAGTCCTGACTGAGTTCCGAGTCCAGTGGGCACCTCAACTGACGTGAGGTTGTTGTAGGAGAGAGACAGCTGCTGGAGACTCGGGTGAGTGAAGAAACTCGGTGGGACAGAGCCACTCAGTTGATTGTAACTAAGGTCTAGAACTTGTAAAAATGGCAGCTTTCCTATTTTTAAAGGTAAAGGTCCTCCAAGGTTGTTGTTCCTCATTGATATCTCCAGCAGAGAAGGCGGGAGATTGGGTGGAAGTTGACCTGAGAATGAATTATGGCTGCAATCAAGGGAGTTGAGGGAAGTGAGCGGACTCAGGTCAGGGAGCTCGCCGGTGAGTTGATTGCCCTGAATATCCAACCTCTTCAAATTGAGCAACTCGGAAAAGCTGGGGGGGATGGGACCAGTGAGAGCATTGGCGTCGAGAAGGAGGTCTTGGAGGTGGGTGAGTCGGGACAGGGAGTCGGGAATAGGACCGGAGAGTGAGTTGGTAGAGAGGATGAGTCGGGTGAGGCGAGTGAGGTTAGAGAGAGAAGCAGGGATAGGGCCAGAGAAGTTGTTGCCGGAGAGGTCAAGGGATCGCAAAAGCGGGAGGTTCCAAGAAATGGAGGAGATGGTGCCGGAGTAAGTGGCCTGGTCAAGAGCGATTTCAGTGACCCGACTGACTTGTGAAGGGAAGGGGAGGGTGTCGCAGGTGAAGCCGCAGGTGAACTTATCGGAGAAGAGGGTGTCGCAGGGGTCATGGGAGAAGTCCCAGGAGCTGATGCATGAACCAGGACTCACTGAGTCTGGGTCTATTCCGAGTTTGAGTTGCTTCAAAACAAGGATGTCTCTCCAGTAAGTTGTGGAAGCTGCATTGTAGAACAAGCTTGAAAGGGCCAACAAACCTAATAACACACTACTGCTGCTTAATTCTACCGGAACAGGATTCCCCATTATCAACAAGAACAAGTTGAGAAATGAGTAAACAGATAAAGGGGATTCCTGGGTTAATAATACTAGACAAAAGTGGGGGATTGGGGATTGGATTCACGGGTGCTGTCAGAGATAAATAAATACTCCCTAGATAAAGACTAAAGACTAAAGAGGGAGCGTATGTATTTATGTAATGTAACTACGTAAGAGAGAGAAACCATTTTTGAATGAATGCCAATGCCTGCTCTACACTCTAGTGCTCATTCCTCAATCCATTTGCAACTTCTCTTCACTTTTTTTTTACTCACTTCATTTCTCCCTTAATTTTCTAAGTATTTTACTGGTACCATTTTTGGGTTGGGTCTTGTTTAAGCTACCACTACCTTTATAATTTTGTTATGTACTTTTGTTTAATATACTGAAATAAAAAATGAGTAAATGTATCATCCAGGGGCATCATATTTCAGATCTGTAACAAATTAACGACAATATTAAGCGGGCATAATGACTCCGGACTGGTGGATTGGTGGTTATCTTCTGTTATAGTATACTCAAAGTGTTTAATGTATACAGTACTGGACTACAAATGTTATTACAAAAATAATTAATGAAAACCTACCAATAAGAAGCAAATTGCTTGGAATAATTTTGAAGACAATCATTTAATGCATACGAGTATTTCTGAGTAGCATACATGATACATTCAAGTCCCTGAAATTTGGTACCCCTAACACTACTAATACTCATGTACTCGCTTGTTTTATAGGATTTTTGGATTTATAATTAAATTCATTTGCAGGGCAAACATTTGGAACTATGGAGGATTCTCATCTCCAATTACCATCACTTGGCACATTTGGATCGCTAGGTAACAACTCTAGACTTATATTACTTTCGTATAATTTGGTTTTTATATATATAATAGTACTATAGTTTGAATATCAAGAAAACAGACATACCTTCAACTTGAAATTTGTAATTGTAATTGTTACCAAGGTATGTACCTGCTGCAAACTCTTAAGCAATGCTTTGAGCTTTCTCGGGGCAACCACTAAACTCTTGTTTGAAATATAATTAGTGCCTCCTAATTTAACCTATTACCCTTTTCTTGTCAGTAGCCGATGACTAAATGCGGCTATTTGACCCAGATTTTGTCTTATTAACACTGCCTTTGGAATCATCTCATATTAAATTCTTAATTGAATATTAACATAATTAAAAGGACTATTATGCCATGATTCAAAATCTCTCAAACTACTACTTCGTACAATATTACAGCTACATACATAATTGAGCTTAATTGTTATCATTGAAAAATTAACATTGATCGAATTGTTGAACCATGCATGCACACTGAGGATCTTGATCCTAAGCAAGACGCAAGTCATGGACATTGCTGTAGCCTAACCTTCCTCCCTGCTGAAGATTATGAATGTCGAGGATGGCGACTCATAGCAAATAAGTTGGCTGCTGCTCCATTGTCTGAATACACAGCAGCAGCTTCATAGTTACCCTGATCATCATCTGCTATACCAAATCCCGGGGCCCTAAATCTCGTTTCCTTTCATTTCAATCATCAAACCCAAATAGAACCATTAGTTATAACTGATATATTCATCATGCATTATTAGAATTTTTTTTTTATCGAAGATATGCTTACAAGATCCATGACAAGGTTTCCATGAATTTCCTCAAGGCTCTTAACCTGAATAAAATAATATAAGGATGTAAATGAGTATTAGATAATTTAGATGACTACTGTAGGTACTATATATAATGAACTAAATAGCAAATAATTTCCAAAATGGAAAATAAATAGCTAATATTATTCTACAGCTAAAGCAGTAGATAATGCAGGGGTACATAAATAAATATACAGCTAACCTTCTTCTTGCTAGTCCCAGTTTGATTTTTGATGACATGATACTGCATTTTTATAAATTTAATTAGTTTACATAAAATTATGAAGCAAGCAACAAATTCACTTTTATAAAAGTTTTGTATCAAAGTTGGAGACCTGAATTTATTTATGGTACAGATCACAAGTGACTATAAAGTGTCAAATAATTGTTTTATAATTAAGACAAGAGATCACAATCAGGCAGGTTAAAGCAGATCAACTATAAGTCGATTTCAAATTAATCAAGTGTTATAAATAACTGAGATGTAAACATAATATCGATCTTTTGAAATTCCACTAGATATCTACTTAATCAAAGGTCTCTTATGTATGTACTCCATATGTATTTGGTGTACCACTAGGTGTCTAAGACTACTCTCCTAAGCTAAGTTATATAAGAAATAAAACTTTGATATTTGATTAACTGAAAAAGAAAATTACCTTTCGATTACGAATAAGATCCAAAGCTTGATCCATCTGTTGATGAAGACTGCGCAAGTCTCCTATAGTGAGGTCCTCTAGATCTCCTCCCATCCTTCGGCTATAAATAAAATATGTATTAGGAAATTTTTGAATTGAATGATATATCATATATATCAATATCATATAATAGAACCAGCTAGTTAGGGTGAATGATATTGCATACTATTGCATGTGATAAGCGCTATACCATACCTAATCTCTGTTCGCAGCGTATTATTGACCTCAGCTAGCTTTCTCTCTCGCTCTTTCATTTGCTGCGTCGATCATATTTAGACCCCGTTAACTACTATGGCTCTAGCTATATATACAGTGATGAATGCATTACAGTAATTAATTTGGTCGAAAAATAAAGAACCTCGTAGTGTTTACGCCAGAGATCAACACCTTCAACCTTCTGATACTCGTCATACATCTTCTTAAGACTTAATTAAATCAGTGGGAAAAAGCATAAAAGAGGTAGCTTAATTAGTAAATAAGTAGAAATTAAATAATTAACAAAATAAAAAAGAAAGTATGTAGAGGTACTCTAGTATGTAGAGGTAGCTTAATTATGAAGCAAGCATCGTCCTGTTAAAATAAAGCATAGATAGGAGTAGTTGATGGAACATGCCTGTAAAAGAAAGGAGGTACTCGTTTTGCCAAAAATAAAACAACATACAACAAAAAAGTAGTAATGAATAGTGCTACTCATCTATATACGTGTAATCGGTACTATGGGAAAATTAAACAAGGAAAAAGTAATAAATGGGTTATTTCCTAAAAAAAAACACAACCCTCTCATGCTTAAGCTTAATTATGCTCGTGCTTTTAAGTTAAATTATAATCCTCATGGTTTTGATGTTACATTCATCCACACCACCTTTATTTCTTTTTGGCTGCTTGCTTTTCAGATCCAACATCCAACCATATTGATTTGCTTTTTTTTTTTTTTTTCCTAAAAACACTATAACAAGTCAATTACAACTTTACTCTCCATCAATTTGGCTACAATAAATCAAAACTTAAAAATACCCCAATTATAATATGGCCTGACAATCTAAAATGAGCATAATTATATCAATACAATGCAAGAAAAGAGCCCATTAACAACAGAATTCTCATCATAAACCCGTTATAAAAGATCATTTATGATTAAAAAAATTTTGTCGTGAGCCCATCCTAGAAAGGAGTTGTCGTAGATTACCTTACAAGAAAAAACTAGAGTAATCCATTCTACAAAACCTTACTCCTTATAATCTAATATTATGATGTGGAAAAATAAAAATTACAAAGAATCATTTAATAATAAAAATCTACGGTAGGGTAGTCAAGGGTGCATGCGGCATGCCAAACAGTAAATATGGACCTACTGGCTACATACTGCTACTCGGTACTGGTAGTAATGAAGTGTAGTTTATACAGCTTAAATTATCAAGGATAATTTAATTGACGTTAAGTTTAGCCGCCCCCACTTATTAAATGTGCTCATTTATTTGGTTAGTTGGAAATTCACGGTGTTTCAGCGGCAACTCTCGTACGTTTATCTTTGCAAGTAAAGCAACCTTTCTTTCTTTCACATGAGAATAAGTTAGTGTATGTACTATATAATATGATATCATCGTAAGATCGAGGCTATAAACACTAACCAACAATTAAAGAAAATGGATCAAAGATCAACTAAGAGCTTAGATGAGCTAAGGGAGACCTTCAAAAGTGGAAAGACAAAGACTTTTGAATGGAGGAAAGCACAGCTTCAATCTCTCTTAAAAATGGTTACAGACCAAGAAAACAAGTGTTTTCAAGCACTTTATGATGATGTTGGCAAGAGCAAAATTGAAGCTTTCAAGGATGAGGTATTCTTATCCTTAAATCTTTCATGCTTTTTTAAAATTATTTTTCAATCATATTTTACCATTCTTATGTCTCTTTTATATACGTATTATTTAATTAATATATATAATCAAGTTTCACTAAAGTCTAGATGTCTAGTAAAAATCTAATTTTAGCATGTTACTGTAAAGTTTTGGTAAAATTTTGTTTTAACCAATAATTGAACTAGCTCATATTAATTAATGTATATTTGTCTTTTTTGTTGAAGGGAGGGGAAAGGTAAAGGGAATTTGCTATGATAGATTATTAAATTACATAGATGATGGATCAGTAGTGGATTTCCACATATTGTCGTTGCTAAATTGGAGATGTATTTAATGCAACCCTGTGTATGGACAAAGTGGTATCTTTATATATGGGGTGTTTTGGCAATATTTTGCATAATCATAGCTTTTTATTATCATTTTTAACCAAAATTGTGCATAAATATATTGGTAATATATTAATATAACACATTTTAGGGACGAAGAAGGCGGTATGAGGTATGTTACAACTGGATCCATATAGTCCTCCAAATGATTTAGCTTAGTTTAATTATTTGTCTCTTTTGATTACCATTTATATGATGTCATGACTTGTATAGTGTAAAGCAGCACTAATGCTATGAAGAAAATTTAGTTCCTTTGTGTTTGTTTGCAATGGTTGTAGTGTAATGTGTTGTAAAAAAAAGGCCTTGTTGCATGTGAGGTGGGATGTAGTGCACGCATGATGCATGTGCCTTTGACGCACCCACAACACACCAACACGTGAAACACACATATTAGCTACCCAACACAAATGCCCAACTACTGTACCATTCATTATAGGCATACACATTGATATCATATTACATGCATAATTTCATCAGTATAGCCCTGTACATGTATATTTTGTATAAAATTTAAAATTCTAATCGAGTATATTAGTACAATTGACAAATTATGACAATGTCACACGCTCCGTACTTTATTAGAATAATCATAACTCATTACTCTTGATCTGTTTGACAAACATTTGATATTCTAATTCTAATCAACATTGATAGGTTGGACCTTCAAAGAAAGCTGTCGTCCATGCTTTGAGTTGCCTGAAGAACTGGATGGCTCCCAAAAAGGTGGATTCTTTTCTTAATTTGTTATACGACATGTACGAAAGTATGAAGTATATAATACAGTACGTAAAATTGTTAAATGCAATTTATTGTGCAGGCTGGGATTAGATTGCTATTTTTCCCTGCCAAGGGAGAAGTAGTACCAGAACCATATGGCCTTGTTCTCATTATGACATCTTGGAACTACCCTTTAGGTTCGGCATTACTTTTTTGGTTTTTTAATACTCCGTACTAGTACTAGTATAACAATTAACTGACTAGATTCTATAATGATGTTTCAATTTTGATGATTAGACTTGGCATTGGAACCATTGATTGGAGCTATAGCTGCAGGAAATGCGGTTGTCATAAAGCCCTCAGAGATGGCACCGGCGACCTCTTTGTTTCTTGCTAACACCATTCCTCAGTACTTGGATAACACTGCAATTAAGGTCATTGAAGGAGGACCTGATGTTAGCCAGCAGCTCTTGCAACAGAAATGGGACAAGATTTTCTACACTGGTGTGTTCCCAATAATTAGCTACCATTATTATTTGTCTAACTAATTTTAATGAAGAAATAACTCTAGCTACTGTAATTCGGTTAAACAATGTATGTCACTTAATCTGATTAGGAAGTCCAAGGGTTGGTCGAATAGTGATGACTGAAGCTGCTAAGCATTTAACGCCTGTGACTTTAGAGCTTGGGGGTAAATGCCCCATCATCTTTGATTACTCTTCAATCTCCTCTAATCTCAAGGTATGTCACGGCTTCAACTATAATTGCAGTCATAAAAGAATGTGAAATTCGTGTTAAGCTTTATCCTCTTGTGTCTAATTTAATCTTGTTGAACTCAACATATTTGTGTAAGGTGGCTATTCGGAGGCTTACATCTGCTAAGTGGGGCGCTTGCTGTGGACAAGCTTGCATTGCTATAGATTATGTGCTTGTGGAGGAGAAGTTTGCATCCTCATTGGTATTACATACATTCCATCCATGTACTTTGTACAGACAAATCTTCACCACGTTCCTTGTCATTTAATCAGTATAATTGTTTTAGGTTGACTTGCTCAAAACGTTAGTGAGAAGACTTTATGGGGAGAACATAGAGACCTTGGGAAATATCAGTAGGAGTGTGAATAAGCATCATTTTGACAGAGTGTGTAATTATCTTAAGGATCCAGCAGTGGCAGCTTCAATTGTGCATGGAGGCTCATACGACGAAAAAAATTTGTAAATTTCTTCTCTTACAAAAATCCATCAATAGAAAAGCTTCCCAAAGTAAAGTTCCATCTGATTTTATTATAAAAATGGGAGATTCTTAATTCTTTTGATGAGATGAGGAGTTCTTCACTTGCAGGCTTATTGAGCCAACTATCTTACTAAATCCTCCACTTGATTCTGTGGTCATGAACGAGGAGATATTCGGCCCAATTTTGCCAATTATAACTGTAAGAACATATATATACTCCTTTTGTTCCCTCTCAGTATGAAGTTAGTGTTTTGTTTCTCTACTTTGGTATCCTGTACAAAGTTTTCTGATAAAAGATTTTGTGAGACAGTTGAAGAACATTCAAGAAAGTATTGAATTCATCAATATGAGACCAAAGCCACTTGCTCTTTATGCATTTACACACAACAATAAGTTCAAAAAGCGGATAGTCTCAGAAACTTCCTCTGGAAGTTTGCTTTTTAATGATGTTTTAATTCAGGTAATGCTCATGATCTTAAGTCAATGTTAAAATAATGATACCATTTTTTATTTTTGCTTATTTCTAATTAGATACGGTGGTTGTTTGATTGATGTTCTTGTAGTATATTTGTGATGAGCTGCCATTTGGAGGAGTAGGACAGAGCGGGATGGGAAAATATCATGGAAAGTACTCTTTTGATGCGTTTAGCCATGAGAAATCCGTGCTGTACCGAGGCTACTTTCCTGATTTGTCTGCAAGGTATCCTCCATGGAACGCGTTTAAGTTGGAGTTTTGTAGGGTGGGTTACAAAGTCGACTACTTTAATCTTTTGCTTCTCTTGCTTGGCTTCAGAGGATATCCCAAAGAAGACTAATACAAGTTGAAATCATCCCACAATTAAAACATTGAATTGATGAAAGATTAAATTAGTTCATTGCTTATAAAGATGAATTTGTTTTGTTTGTTGTATGTCCTTTGCGTTTGTTAACTTAGTTGGTAACTTAGTATGTTCGTGCTCTGGAATAAATATCTCTGGAAATAAGTTTACATTTGCTTAAATAAGTACTCTGTAGGTGTTTATTGGAACCACTAGCTCTAGTTTATGATTTCTTAAAAAATATTTTAAGCTTGAAGAGCCTTGAAATACAACATTCTATTACCTGTCTATGAACATAAAAGATGATTTAACATCTTAAACGGTATGTTGTTGCGAGGCATTCTCGATTTTCTGGAAGGAGCTGCCCCTGCAGCTGGACCAATATTCAGCTACAATGTTGGAAAACGATGAGCTGCTTTGCATGAGTTTAGAGGGTTCATCATACTCCACCATCTCACCTGCACAAATTAGATCAGCCATATTTCTTCACATCAGCCTATATCAGTAATTAGAACTCTGAAGTTCAAAATATTCTGAAAGCTCTAAAGAGGCTAAATATCAATGGTTGGTGTCCAGTATTCAGGTATAATGCTATTCGTGGTAAACAAAGAATGAGGATCATGAAGCATACCATTAGAAAGAACCATAACCATATCACTGTCTATTACAGTTGGAACCCTGTGAGAGTGTGAGCTACTGTTATTACTGTGCATTCAGAAAATTTTTCTCTAATAATTTTCTGAAGGATAGCATCAGTTGCAGAGTCTATGGAAGCTGTGGCTTCATCTAACACAAGAATTTTGTTTCTCCTCAAGAGGACTCTTCCAAGACAATTGGCGCTGCCCCATGCTCCAATTTTCACCTTCATCACCGACTATGAAGATATATGGTTTTATCAAACACGCAATATTCAATCTGATGTAGAAGGAAAGGAGGGAGAAAAAGAAATAACAATTCTTAGACTGAGGATACTTGATTGAACTTACCTGATGAGTCCAGCTGATTCAGAAGGCTGGTAAATGTAATCTTAAGTTGACACTTCTCTAGTGCCTGCCAAAATGATGAATAGGTTGACAAGAGTCCTAAATTTATCTATTCAATAGGATTAAATTACAAATGTTGAAGTATGTCTTAAGATATAAAACTTACCTCCCATATTTCAGCATCAGAGTATAAACCTAGAGGGTCCATGTTAGATCGAATGCTACCTCGAAAGAGGGTTGGTTCTTGGGGAATGACACTAAGTTTAGTCCGTAAATCCTTGAGTCCAATAGCGCAAATGTTTATGCCACCAATACAAATTCTTCCGTTATGAGGCTCTACTAATCGGAACAATGCACTTATGAGTGTTGTTTTCCCACTGCCAGTTCTCCCCACAATCCCTACTCGTGTACCCTCTTTGAATGTACAAGTGATTCCCTTGAGAACTAGTGGAGCACTTTGCTGGTATTTTATCTGAGATTGTGCAACAGAAGAAGTTAATAAGAACTTTGGCATCTCTAAAAAGGTTAGAGTTGCATAAGATAAGACTTGAGGATTCTAAGAATTCCCATTGTCTACATTTTTTTTCATACCTTGAGATCTTGTAACTCGATCCTACCCTCTGAGGGCCAAGATAATGGAGCTCTATTATCTTCAATGTTAGTTTGAGGTTCAGGTTCTATGTGCATAAACTGTTTAATTCTTTCAACTGAAATGATGTAGTTAGATGTGTTACAGTACCATTGCATCATGAAGACGTAGGTGGCCTTCAATGTTAGAGCATAGGAAAGAGAAAGCCCTACAAGTCCTGCAGAACAAGAAGAAAAACAGAAAAACAAATATTAAGCTCTGCTGCAGTTATTGTAGGTATGAATTGGTAAAATGCAATCTTAACGAGATGATTAGGTGAATAAACATTATACTACCTGGCGGTATAGAACCCTTAGGAAGTATAACAAAGAGAAAAGCAGCAGTAAAGAGTGTCATATTCTGAAGAGCCTCAATTCTTATAATCAACCACTCCATGGCCGTGTTTGAGTAGAAAAATAGCTTAGCATCAGTATCGACAAGCTTCAGGTACTTGCTGATAAACTGATCTACCTCTTTAAATGCCCTGATAGTTATCACCCCTTGAGATGCCTCAGCTGCATAATTCATGATTGGTGCCTTTGTGGTTCCATTTATACGTATTATCTCCCTTGCAGAAGCAAGATACTTATTCTGAAGTATTTCAAGGAAAGGTCAATAAAAAATGATAAGTTAAGGAAGATAATAATTAGGCACAGATGGTTCAGGAAAAAGTACCTGAATTAAATTTGATGCTACCAAGGTAAGAATTCCCACAATGAGTACCTGCCAAGTCACCATGGCCATGACCAAAATAATTCCTGCGACCTCAATTGCAACAGACAACACGTAGGAAATTCCAAAAGGTATTTCAAAATCCAAAATGCTAAAATCTGATGATGCCTGCAGATCGAGGTAGGAAAAATCATTCATACTAGAAAGATAACATTAACTTAATCAGAAGATAAATAGATTAGATATCATCTTACTCTAGTCAAAATTCGTCCAACTGGAGTTGAATCAAAGAAAAGCATTGGAGCTCTGAATATTGAATTCATGAAACTCTCGAAAAAAGCTCTGGAAGCTTTAAGGCCTAACTTAACTGTGAACAAAGACCTGAGGTGTACAAATATTATACTAAGGAAGGAAAGTCCTGCATAAACCCCTATTAAAGTGCTCATGCTTAGTTCAGGAATCTGAATCGCAAAAGCTAACCAATATCTTGAAGCAGCTTGGAAAGCTACAAAACCAATCTGTGAGATTACACTTAAAAACAGGACAGTTAGACCCTTTGAGGCCGATATGTAATCCAAGTATGGCTTGTATCCTACATCTCCGGCTCCTTTTTCCTCCTCTTCTGTTAGTTGCAGTGGTGTACTTTTCTCAGGAATGTCACTATTGTCGTCACAAGTGTCAGAAAACACTACTGGTCTGTCAAATGTAGCCTGGTGAAGTTCTCTTTCTGGTGCAATACTTGAATGACCTAACTGTGTAACTGCGTTCTTATGTGCATTGACAAGCTGCTCAAATGTTGTTCCAATCATCAAAAGATCCTCATAGCTTCCATATTGTGTAATTTGACCGCTTTTCATAACCTGCACAGGCCCCCACAACAAGCTAAGTTGCCTTTCTTTGCTCTTGAACGAAGAACTACCAATATTTATTGTAAAACAGAAGTATTTCTATTCATTTTATACCAAAACTTTATCAACTTGTGACAGAAACTCCACTTGATGGGTGACTAGAATTACGGTCTTGTTCCTTAAAGCACCCATGACACAGGTCTGTAAAACCATCAGCAGTTAGTCTTTGCAATAACCACATCAAAATATCAATTTTTACTTTTTATTTTTTTGAAATTAGTGAAATAGTAGAACATGAGTCAGTTTGCTCACTTTAAATAGGGCAGCTGCAGTATGTGCGTCAACTGCACTGAAAGGGTCATCAAGGAGGTAAATATCAGCATCACTATAAACAGCTCGAGCCAACTGAAGCCGCTGCTTCTGACCTCCGCTCAAATTTATACCTCTTTGACCAATTTCTGTCAGATCACCGTGGCTAAAGTTCATGACGTCTTTACCAAGAGCACAAGCATTGATGGCCTTCTCATATATTCTGCTGTCCATTGGCTTACTGTAGCATATATTATCGCGAACTGTTCCACTTTGTATCCAAGCACTTTGAGAAACATATGCTATGGATCCAAACACATCGACCTAAATACATGAAGTGTCAGACGAAAAGCATTTTTTTGAGGATAAATTATACTTGCAAACAAGAAGAAAAGAATGCCTTACCCTGCCTGATATTTTGGGCATTTCACCAAGTAAAGCATAAAGAAGTGAAGATTTCCCAGCTCCAACAGGCCCACAAATTGCAACTTTCTCACCTGGCCTCACCTCTAAAGATAAATCTCTCAAGGTTAATGTTGGAGATTCTGGATCCCAGCTAAAATTTCCATCTTGTAATTCTACATTGTTCTCTGGATTTACCATTGTACCACTTCCAATAGCATCAGTAATATATACTTGATCATCTAGCAGAAATGTATTGATCCTGTGAAATGACACCATTGCTTGGATTATTGAAGAGAACTGCAGGCAACTGTACAACTGGCTCCCCCATAACTCCTAAAGTTGCAATGATGGTGAACATAGTGACAGCATCTAAAGGAGCACTCCTGAAAATCGAGCAACCCCAAAAGGCCATTGAAGATATTATTGTGGGAGATAGCCAAAATAAGGCAGTGCCATTGGCAACATTATGTTGTGCGTCCCTCAGCCATTTAAACTCGTTATCTCGGAGTGAATAGATGAGCTTCAGGAAATGTTCTTCCCATGATTGCAACTTAATGATCTTCATGCTAGAGAGGATCTCTGAAGTGGCTCTCAACCTCTTGTCCTGAGCTGCCATGGACTCAGCCTTGCACTCTTGGAGTCGTTTGGCAAACGGAATATTGAAGATACCACAGATAACAAGAGGAACCAAGGCTGGTAGAGCTCCAAGGCCCACGATACCAATAAGGATTCCAAGTGATAGAAGGAGCTGAAGTAGACAACTCCAGGCTGAATGGAAATACCAGGAGATTTCACCCATACGATAAGCATCCACCATTATGTAGTTAACAATCTCACCAGTTGAGTGAATCTTTCTTGCCACGGCAGAAAGTTTTAGCTGCTTGTGGAAAATAGCCACCATCAAAGCAGACCTTATTTAAAAATCTTGACACAGCTAAGGAGAACCAAACTACTCCCCTAAGAAGATGTCCACCATGTACATAAAAAATCTTGACCCATCCTGACCTTTGAACATTTAAAGACACAGCTAAGGAGAACCAAACTACTCCCCTAAGAAGATAAATTTGCCAAATTAGTTTCTCTAGTTGCTCAGAACACGATAAAAGGTCCCATGATCCTATACTGAGATATGCAATACTTACAAGAGTGCTGCATATTGATACGGCTAGAAAGAACCAGTTCCTATTGAAGCTCCTTTGCTTGCGCTCTCTGCTAAAAATTGCGAGCCCAACAACCAAATAAAAGAAGACCAGGAAAATAAGGTTCATGGCATCTATTATAGTTCTGTGAAATGAGGAAGAAGTCAAATAAAAAAATGTTCCTCTGACCTCATGGAAAAGCCCTGCATATGGTTTAAAGGTGGAGTAATTAGAAGTAGTTGTTATGAGAATGGAAACTTTGCAGACATTAAAATTAGTACTGTACTGTACTTAAACATGAAAAGTGACACTTGATACATCTAAGAAAAAAAAAGTAGAGCGAGTATTAAACATAGATTCTGTGGAACGGAGGAAGTGTGATCAGTACAACAATAATGGATGGTAAATGATTACTTAATTCAAACATGTTGCCAAATACATTATTGGCCTGGTATTTGCTAGTCACATAATATGAAGAAGCCGAATACAGTATGAAAATGTAAGCTGATCACACAAGTAATTAATTAAAAGTTGGTAGCAGGAAATGAAGTTACCTATTCGTAGTAAGGAAGACATGGTTTTGAATAATGAGCACAGAGAATGAAATAAGATACCTGCTGCAATTGTATTAATGCTTCAACACTTGTGGGAATGATGACCTACTTTAATGGGATGTTGTTCATATACTCAAACCATAACTTTTCATCAGCTTTTTAATTTAAATATTCTATCACACTCCCACCCTTCTTTTTTTTAGTGATAACTCTACTTAATTAAAGCCACTTGCATGCATGGTTGCATTCTTGTCTTTACAAAACTTATTTTTTCAATATTTCCCATACATCCAGTGTTTTAGACTAATGTGAGATGGAGAAGCATCTTACAGTAAAAGACTTTTTTTTTTCCTCTTAAACGATTAGATTTTTTTTTCTTAAAATGATTAGAATTGAGTGATAACAATCATTTTTAAAAAAAAAAAATGAAAATAATAGTTGTGAAAAAAAAAGCACTTAAAAACTCTTATAGGCATGAGAAGGTATTTCTGTTTTTATGGAACATCAATTTCATTCATTTTGTGAGTTCTTTAGAAGTGAAGATTCTCTTATTTTTATTAATCAAACAACTTCATTTTGATGTTATCCTTAACATATTTTGATGTCAACCAAAGAAATACTACCTCCGGTCCAAATTACTCGCAACTTTAGAGTATTATTTGTGAAATATAAAATATTTCAAAGTTACGAGTAATTTGGACCGGATGTAGTAGTTGAATGTGACATCATTTTTTGTGGTCCCCATTGAAAATGATGTCATCAAATTCTTGTTAAGACTCACTAAGACTTACACAAATTTATCACTTTAGCCCTAAGACTTAAATATTTGACATATTATATGTAGAAAACTGTAAAAAAAAAAAAAAAAAAAAAGTGAAATGGGTTCCAATCTCAAGTCTTAAGTTGAGTCTTGAAACTCAACTTGAGATTTGCTTGAGATTTTTGAAGGAAAATGGGAAAAGCTTAAGTATAAATCTTAAAACTCAAAATGATGATGTCACCCCAAGTCTTAAGTTGCTCTTTTTTTTTTTGACCCGTAAACTTGCTCTAATATATAACAGTGATGTAAATAGAGGACATTATTAAATTTCAAATCTGGTATTAAGATTCCATATTTATCAGGGCTGGGTCTTATGAGGCCAAGAGGATATAGGCCCAGAGTATTTTTTTTTTTTTTTTTTTTTTTGAAAAAAAGGGCCAGAGTATTTTTGACGAACAAATAAAGCACGGCCAAGTGTCCAGAGAATAACAAGTGGGTCAAAATATAAATATAGACATTGAAATTCAATCTCCCATCCTCTTGATTTCAACGGCGGCGGATCGGTGTTGCAATTGCGCATGTTGAGGCTGAGAGGATTCAATCTTGTTCAGTATCATCAACATCGAGCTCAAACCCAATTCAATCCAGGCACAATTAATTTACAAATCAGAAAGCCGCCCATCTTTGCACGAACAACAGCTTTGATGGCCGAGAACAAGCCGACGACGCCGGAGGAAGAGAAAGAGAAAGAGAAAGATAAAGAGATAGAGAAAGAGAAACTGCCTACGCCGTCGAAGAAGAAGGAACTGCCAACGCCGCCGGAGAAGCCGGAAGCAGGGGATTGCTGTGGAAGTGGGTGCGTTCGATGTGTGTGGGATGTTTATTACGAGGAGCTCGAAGCTTATGATCAGCTTTTCAAGGACTCTCCCAATTAGCTCTTTCTTTCCCCTTGTCATCTTCATTGTGTTAGATCAATAACATCTATTCAATTACTCGTACCTATTATCATAATTCATTATTGTTGTATCACCAATTCATAATTGTTCAACTTTTTAAATACATGGCTTTGGCCTTTGGGTTACATGGCTTTAGTGTTTTACTAGGCACATCATAACTGATAAGTCTATTCATTTCTTTTACAATTTTTATGCACAAATTCCACTATACTTATTTCGTTAAATCTAAATATTGTTTATATGTAATTTTGTTTGGTGTAGAAATATTCAACCTAGGGATAACACAAGTGCTCAAAGCTTCTCTCTCAATTTCAAGAAATCTTGGGATTGATTTTTACTTTGTCCATGTGGCTCTCTTAAAAAAATAATAAAAAAATAAAATAAAAGTCGGGGAAGCAAATAATCTTTTAGGTTAGCTGTAGGGGGGAGACACATTTGGGTGTCTACATTAGCTGATATACAATTTTAGGCAATTGATAACTTTACAAACATTATGTAATACCCTAACACTATTTTAGTGAATTATTACAATCATATGATTTTATCCCAACTTTTCTTATTTTCCATGTAAATTGAAAATATTACCCTATTCAAGTAATATTATTTGTCCTCTTATATGTGCAAGTAACAATACAAACATAATTTATCAATTAATTTAACTAAATATTTTACTAAAAACAACTAATAACTTTTTTTTTATTATTATTATTATTAAAGGGAAAACATGGAAGCAATACTATTAAACCAACTAGGGTTTTGTTCTAACACCATTAGCAGGAATTAATCTAGGGTCTCTTCAAATTGATTTAAGTAAGCTGAACTTATTGGAGCTGAAGTGAAGTGAACTAAACAAATTGAAGAGAACAGGCCCGTAGTAGACAAATGGGCAACCACATTGCCATTTCGTCTAACATAATTAATTGAAAAAACAACTAATAGCTTGTACGATTAAAACATCTATTGCAATCAAGACTTATTAACCAAATATCCATTAATTACCAAATAAGACATAAAAGTAAAGTTATTGTTTCGGGTGAAAACAATGGGACCTTGCCGAAGGTCCGATGAAACGGAGAAGACTAGATTCGGTCCAAGTAATGTTGGGCCGAAGGTTTCCTGCACAGTAAACACACGTAAACTAGCCTCGGGGGTGTTGCCGAGGAAGGCCCCTCCGATGCTAAAGTCAGTACAATGTGTGGAAAGAAAACACTATGCAAGAGAATTTGTTGCTTGAGGCTTTTCTTGAATTAATCAGAATCTATCAGAATATATGAGAATATATGAGAATGTAATATTGATGGCTTTTATACCTCTTCATACATGGAGAAGTTGGGCCTTAGCCCAATTGGCTTGCCTTGAGGGCTGATCTTTGACTGTAGCACAATTAGAGAGATGAACCTTGACCTTGGGCTTTTAATTGGATCATTTAATGCCTAAGCCTAATTGGACTAAATTGGACCCAAACAACTTGCCCCCCAGACCCGATTTGGAAGGATGACGGGTCGGGTTTGATTTAACCAGAAAAGGAGGGAAGTGAATGATTTAATTAATCCAAAAATTTGAATTTAAACCGTAATTAATGAGATAACAACGGTTAAGGCGGATGATTGTGGAAGTTGGACGGATAATGAGCAGTTTAATCGCAAGGTCGTGTGTTTAACGGTTACTTAGTGGGGTATTTAAGAGAAATTGAAACGCGGACTCCCCGTATTCCCATTTTTGGAGATATAATCAGAGGCGCGTCATCTCTCCTCACTTATTCACCAACACAAACCCAGAATTCTCGAGAGAACCCAAGAACCCGCATCAAAACTTCGCAAATTCCCCGAGCATTAAGCTTAGAAACTGAGACTTGCCACTACGAACTCGTAAATCGGCAACTTTCGCTTCAGATTAAGGTAAATTCCTTTGATTTCAGTTTATTTTTCTTCGAATTCGAACCCCTTCCTTTTTTTTCGACTTTTTTCTTCGAAATTATCAATGGCAAGAGGAGTTAGAGGTAGAGCCCGTGCTCCAAGAAGAGCAAGGCCAATTCCCGATCCTAGGAACAGGATTAGGACCTGGAATGGACAAAGAGCAGAGTCTGACCCTGTTGAAGGGATTAGGGCGACTCCAATTTCCTCGGCTCCTCCTCAGAGAACGGAGGGGCCGAGCGCTTCTGGACGGGACGATGAAGTTCCCGCTGTCCTTTGGGATATCCTCCCCGGGTTTTCAGAGTGGGAGAATGCCGAAGTAGCTTCGGCCATGATAAAGAACCGCCCCTACTCATGGTGGGTGGAGAATGCCGAACAATATCGGTTTGCCGAGCAAATTGAGTTGCATTACGGCATTTTTGAAGCTGATGGGTATTGGTGTCGAATGCCCGTGGCATCCGATAGAATCCATCGTCCACCCCCGGGGTATGTGGGGGTGTACACAAGACAGCTTCAGTATGGGCTGAGGTTCCCTTTGGACGTATTCGTTCGAGACTTGCTGATCCATTACAATATCTCCCTATGTCAGCTAACTCCCACCAGCATCCGAAGGGTGATGACATACTTATGGGTCTGCAAATTCTTCAAGTATGTGCCGAACCTGCACTGCTTCAAAAAGCTTCATCGGCTAGTGCCAAATATTCAAAGTGGGCACGGAAGTCATGGTTCTGGGTGGTACCGAATTGAGTCTCGGCCCCAGTACCTAACCATGTGGCCGAACGACTCTTCAGACAAGGACTGGAGAGGTCAATGGATTCGGGTTAGGGCACCCACGGACCCGGGCCACCCTTGCGTCTTCAGCGCTCCCCGGTACCTTGCTGAGCCTGATCCCGACATGGGAAGTCTAGGTCCCCCCGCAGATAACGGCTCAGATCCAAACCTTAGT